GGCCTGCAAGGCCAGGACGCGCGTACTTAAAACCCTACAGGGCTTTTAGCGGCTATTGCCGGCTACATTGTCGCTATTAGAGTGTATTCTGCTTCCAAAATTTACACACTTCTGTTTTCTTGATCACAAATTTATGTTTTATTAACTAGCATACGTGACATCAAATCCTCATGGAAAAGATAACACTCATTTGCACAAACATTATGAAACAAGGAACTTACATTGTATTCAAAACTTTCCCGTCTTGCAATGTGCGTCATTTAAAAAAAAGATCCTTGGCGTGCTGTGGCGCAAGAAGACTAACACCATGCACCATGCTTTTAAGTGCAAAAGACTGCTCTAGATAACAAAATTTCACCACACGTGAAATAGCTTTTCAATGCGTCATCGTTTCATTACGTAATAGAGCGTCTTATGACGTCAGAGCCGCTGTCAGACTGGCTGAGCTAGTGCTCCCACTGTGGTGAACCGACTGGCTCATTTGTAGTATCTTGGCTCGTCACAAGGTGGTCTGTTAATTTATGCGTGCAAAATCTATCCCAACGATCCCAACGATCGTTACATGCGCGTGATTTGACCATTTTTCGTGGTGTTCTTGTTTACTTGTCAGTAATAACATGTTTATTCCTTGCAATTGCGTTCTCGGTTGGGGCGTTATTCTGAACTTATTCGATTTCCAGTCCCATGTCCGTGATACTCCCCAAATGCTTTTGTCACATTTGACAAAACGCGGTTTGAAATGGACACTTGTATTGAATGCTTTAAGCTGTTTGAAAGCCAACTGCTGCCTGTTAATGTAGCTACTGGTACTGAAATATTCCAGACCCCAATAAGTCAATGGCCATGCTTTTATTGGCTTTGAACACAGTGTGACTTTTGAGAAGGCGAAATTCGTGGGGTGTGGTATTGACGTCATGTATCTCTGGGGGACTTCAAAATAGGCCGAGCGACATCGTCTGCGCACGCTCGCGTGCGCCTAGCTCAGAAACGAGAAGACTTGAATTATTGAAAACAGCAAAGCTTTGAACTGCAGGAAATGGTCTTGAAGATGGCTATCTCAGCTCACACCTCCACATAAATTTTGAACAGTCCTTTTATATACCCGTACGGAACGCTGAGTAGGGGGTTTGAAGATGGACTCGGGCGGTTGGAATCTATGGGTGTCGGCTACAGTGTAACAATACAGATATTGTGATGCAGTCCTGCGTAGTCATGAACTGGGCGTGCGGCTTCTGGGGGCGGGAACCGTGGAGGGGCGGGTCACGTGACGTCGATAGGCAGGCAGACCCAGGCATCCAGGCGTGCATGTGTCCGCGCAGTATAAATAGTTTCCAGCCGCTTTCCAGGTCGCGGCGCCAGCGACCCGGGTGGCGGAGACGAGCTGTTTGACATATGAAAACGAATGGTCCCTGGCCTCTGATCAGCGGCTTTGCAGGGCGATTTTGCTGCAGCCTCGGCCTTCATTGCTGAGGCTGCGTCTATTCAGGGCGTGCACACAAGATCCGCAGTATATAGTCTTGCAGCATTAGTGCGTAGATGCCTAGGAGGTTTTGAACGAAGAGCACGTGACTGTTGGCAACTGCAGCTTATAAGATCAGCTAGTAATTCCTGGTCTGTTCATGACGCATGTAACAGCAAGTCACCAGCATTGTCATGCTGGATAAAAGGGGAGACAGCTAATGCTTTCTGCCGCGAGATGTAACCTCTGAAAGATCTGCAGCCACTTATTGTGACCACCACTTCAAGCAATTGGCCACTATGATCTTGAATGGCCTCAATGAAAACATTTTGATTTGATCACTTCTTGCAAGCTCGGGATATATTTTTCTCCGTAATTCGCTAGCAAGAATCGATAATAATCCAGATCTACGTTCGTGTTGCTTATGGGTGGCTGCTTTCCGTTCTTCTTTGTGGGTGGCCTCGGCACACACAAAACCTAAATGAATACCCGATAATGTCCCCCTCTCGTAGCAACACCAGAAATGTGCGGAAAGAGGGAATTAATTCAATTTGAAGATCGAGAGCATTTTGTTCCATAAATCAACTAGGGCCTTCCACAATGACGAGGGTTAGGCAGGTTGTCTGAGCAGACATCCCAGGGGTCTCAGGGTATTGGATGTTCTCCTCAGGGGCCTCAGGGTATGTAATGACTTTCTTGCGACCATTGAATGTGCATGAATGCCTTGGATAAATTGAGCCATATTAAATATTTTGACTTCAAGAGAACCTTCGCCTCACACAGATCACACGGCTCCCTCAGAGCTCCCTGGCCGCATCTCGTATCATACAGCTCCCTCGGAGCTCCCTGACCGCATACTGGATCACACGGCTCCCTCAGAGCTCCCTGGCCGCATCTCGTATCATACAGCTCCCTCGGAGCTCCCTGACCGCATCCCGGATCACACGCCTCCCTCGGAGCTCCCTGGCCGCGTCGGAGCCATCACCAGCCTGTGTGTCGCTCGTCGGCTCTGGGGTTTCCCTGTCATTGTGGAAGGACGTACCCCTCAGGACAAAAGCCTTTTGGATTTCACAGCAACTCTTTTTCTAGTTTTTATTTCTAGTTTCCTGGCGTCTGGAGTATCCTTCCATCACGAGCCGCACGATTCTGAATACCCAGGTGTTCTGCGGGCAGTTGGGGATTCCCGAAAGGTGCTCTGCGGACAGTTAGGGATTCCCGAAAGGTGCTCTGCGGACAGTTAGGGATTCTCAAAAGGTGCTCTGCGGACAGTTAGAGATTCTCGAAAGGTGCTCTGCGGACAGTTAGGAGTTACCGAAAGAAAACAATGGGCTTATGGAGCCGGTAAGAAGGCCAGAAAAGACATGAGAGCTCTGTTGATGAACGCTGGATGTGTCATGGGCACCTGATTTGGGGCCTCTCCCCGTACCGTATGACGCCTCTGATCTCCTTGATGTCCCCAGATTGTATTCCCTGATCTTCCCAGTCTGTTGATTCTCTAAGAACCCTCGATCTTGGTACGGATGTCTGCCTTGGAGGTTCGTGAAGCAATGCACCATTTATGTAAGTCAGGGTTTCGGCAGGTTTGCGGGCTAAAAACGTCATTTCCGAAATTAAGTGTTAACTGTGCAAAAAAAACATGGGAGGGGCATAGTCTTTGTCGGGGAGTCCTTGTGCCCCATTCGTTTAGGATGTAATGAACACATGCAAGACGTTAACAACAAAACAGAGAGTACTCCTTTAGGCGAACATTTTTGTTTTGTTGACAGAACACACTCAGCCTAAAATACAGAGAGGTACGAACATATCGGCAGCTTACGCCATTTTTCCTAAACATTACCTGCCCATAGTCTCATAAAATTGGGCGGAACTCGATGAAAAATAGCAGACACACAACAAGAAAGATTCCGCATTAATATTTCCATTGGCGTGTGCCTGCAACGATGGCTCACCCTCCACATGCTGTCCATATGCCGAGCTAGAGGTGGCATGTGCCGCGCCGGGCTTCTGAATTTGTGTGTGATTCGTCGCTAGAAAGCGACTGGAAATCAGCCGCTTGAGTAAACAGAATAGTCAGCTAAATTTAGTTGGCCGCGGACGGAAGACGAACGGTTGGGCGAGTGGCCGCTGGCAGAGCTGCGAAGACCGCGCTCCGACCAGCAGCGCACGCCGCCGGCCGCGACAGCCCGACAGCAAAGACATGGTGAGTGGGTGAGCAGGGCTCGCTGGCCGCGCCATGCCCGCGCTCCCGCCGGCGGCACTGGCCTGTCGTTCCCGCGCTGCTGTCGGCGGAGTTGGCCGCTTCACTCCCGTGTTCCTGTCGGCGGGACTGGCCGCTTTACTCCCGTGTTCCTGCCGGCACAACTGGCTGCTTCACTCCCGTGTTCCTGTCGGCGGAACTGGCCGCTTCACTCCCGTGTTCCTGCCGGAGGAACTGGCCGCTTCACTCCTGCGCTGCTGCCGGAGGGACTGGCTGCTTCACTCCCGCGTTCCTGCCAGCGGGACTGGCTGCTTCACTCCCGCGCTTTTGCCAGCGGAACTGGCCGCTTCACTCCCGCGCTCCTGCCGGCGGGACTGGCCGCTTCACTCCCGTGTTCCTGCCGGCGGAGCTGGCCGCCTAGTGGCCGCTGTGAGGCGTCCGATCGACAACCAGTGGTCTGGCATCAAGTGCGCAGCCAGTGAGAGACAACTTCACGGTGGCGCCGAGGGAGACTGCACGACTTGAGACGTTTGTTTCGTCATTGTTCCGTTTGTGTCGTTGATAGAACGGTCCCGAAGAGGTCTGATGCATAGCATTATGTTTAAAGGATTATGTTGTGGTCGGTACCTCGTCAGTATTAGTCATTGCGGCTCTGCAACGCACTCAACTGGTGCGGCTATGTGGCGTCGCCTGCCTCTCACATGGGTAAGAAAGGCAGGCGCCGCTTGGAGTCAAACTCCGCACCTCTGGTTTTCCAGACGCTTAGCTTAATCACATCACTACCGATGCAGACATTTGGTCCGTGTGAGCTTCAGGGGTATTATTCTGTTGATTAGCATGCATTTGTTAGGCCGTCCATTACACATGCGCATCAATCAGACTTTCATATTAAGGTTGAAAGTTACTGGCAAGTGACCCTCGGCCCAGCTGAACGAGGCGGATAAAGTCGCGCAACAGACGGCAGCGGCACCAGGCTCATGTTCCGCTGCAGTCTCCCAGCTCAACTTCAGCAGGATCTGGATGCTGCAGATGGCTGACCCGATGACCCCGATCTAACGCCCCAGCACGTCCACTGACGCTATGTGGCGCTTTCCCTGGCCCGTAGCCTACGTGTTTAGGCACTTATTCCCAATTGCCTCATTCACTACGACCACTCGTAGTACAAGCCTCATTTTCATGTGCATGGTTATTATTCCCCAGGAAATGGCAGCCACTCAGAGAGAGGACAGTCTGCAGAACCTTAGTTGAGCGCGCAGTGTCGTCTTCGTTTGTTAGCACACCGCCTTTACAGCGGATATGCGACCCTCAGGACCATCTTGCTAACGCTGACCTGACATTTCGCAGGAGGAGCTTGATAAGGAGCAAGTGACTAGTAAGTGCACGTAATCCAACCACGGCAATACATTTTATTCTGTCTAACCATTTTTAATCAGCTCATGTTTCTGACATCGGCTGTGAAAAAAACGTGCAATGTCTTAGCTCTAACCGATGCAAACGGGCTTGCTTTCTCTTTTTTAAAGATGAATAACAATATTTGTGTGGCGACAGATATGCCGAAAGTTAACGTATTGGTTTCTACACCTTCATTTAACTACTCAAGCGTGTTGTTAAAGCCATCTGAAAGCAATCGCTGGCATCCTCTGACGCGAACAAGACCAACGTGCTAAGACCCTGCTAAGTGCTAGAAAGTGACATTATCCATCCGAAAATATCAAACATTTGACCAATATTGGCACCTCTGAGAAGTGGTATGTAAGCGAGCTTTCTTTCCTATCTCCACACTTCATACCATTTCTGCTTCCTACCTTTCCTACCCTAAGAAATTTCCACTTTTCATTAGTCCATGGCCATCTTTATGTAGACGAATGTTCTGCTTCAGTCTTTTGAAAATCACCCACTTCACTTGGTTATTTTATTTGATTGCTTAATCTGTATTATTAAGCTGTTCGAGATATATTACAGCAAAAAGCCACGGTTCAGTTTGTCGCGGCTCATGAAGGTTTGCGACGGAGATGCCAGACGGCCTGGTAACCCCCACGTCATTAGTGAATGAATGCGGATACAGATTTTCATGCGGAGCCTCTGAAGAGTTAGGCGATTGGTCCATCACATTAGCATGGTTAGACATGGCACATCGGATTACCATGGCTAGACAGGGCACATCACATTAGCATGGCTAGACAAGGCAAATTGCCTAGTATGGCTAGGCAATACACATCATATCAGCATAGTTAGACAACGCAAATCACACGGCATGGCAAGATAAGGCACATAACATTAGCATGGCAAGGCATGGCACATCACATTAGCATGGCAATATCTTAATATGGCTACACAGAGCTTCCTATCCTTAACCGCAATGAAGGAAAATCTGCTGGAGGCCTTTCGAAGTGCCACAAGTGGAGCACAAAAGAAAGGAATCGTCAGACTTAAAGAAGACTGATTATGTTGCCTAGTTTCACGTTGTGATCGAAGTCCCTGGTCGGGGAGTCTCACTCAGGCAGCGAGGAGACTCAGTTTGTGGCGTTTTCACGGCAGTTTCCTCCCGTCGTATCGATCTACATGGACTTGAAATTGGGCTCTCTCTCTCTCTGCATTCCTTTCCTGTTTGGCATCGAACCTTTCTTACGTATTATGTGTTACCCCGATTTTAGCACTGCTGGGAGCAGTGCAATGCTTTTAGCCGGAAGCTTAACTTGATGAGGCCGATGTCGATGTCACTGGCTGCGGCGCTGTAGTTGCGTCGAGGCAGCCCGGTGTGATGCGGTCAGCCAGGTCAGAGAGAGACGGTACGTCCGCTGCCAGCCGAGTATTCTCCATGACCGAGCATCCTCCTAACGTTGCGGGAGCTGTGTGGGCAAAACGCAACATCCGCATGTACCGTTCAAATGTGTATCTACACCTCACATCACTGGCGCGTTGCCATCCCCACCGTCATTCCTCGCACTGAGTCAGAGTCAGAGTCAGAGTCAGAGTCAAGCCAGCATTTTGAACAAGGCATGCGTCGTGAGGACTGGCGACAACTGTCGGACTTGACGATGCGTGCGAGCGTCAGTTGAGATGTTTGCACATTAGGATTCACCGCATTTGGGACATATACGCCCCTGCGCGCCGTTTCTACGTACACAACCCATCACCTTCATTTATTAGTGACCAGACATTAGGGCTTGTGTGTCAGCGCAGCGATGCCAGAACCGACGGTGAGTTTGACGCCTACAAGCAGCTGCACATCGCGGGTAAGCGGGCCATAAGAAATGATTTCGAGATGTAGTCATGCAACGCATTAACTCACAGCTCCATCGATGCTGTATCGTCAACTGCAGTCAGTAGTAATACCCAAAGGGGCCCACCCAGCCGGCCTGTGATTCTCCCGCCAGATTAACTGGCTGTCTATTCCACTTCCATCGGGACCAAGACCCGGGACAAAGTCACCACAGATTTCCATCAATCGGAACGCGAAAAACTGGGCGTTCGTCTCCCTTGTGACAGCACGGGCCCAATGCATGTTACACTTGGCCTACCTCAGCGGTTTTTATTTTCAGTACCACACAGAGCATCGAGTGTGGAAGGCTCCGGCGTCAGCGAGCGAACCTTACTTTGCAATATCACCGCCGACATCGTCTCGGAAACTGTGCAGCTCGTCTGCAGCCTCAGCCTTTAGGCTCATCGCGCTGTTTCCAGTCACCACGCTGGCTCCAGTCACATGCAAAATTGTGGAAAAGCTCGCTCACCAGCAGCTCACATCTGGCCTGGAGTGCCCCAGCCTCTTAAGCGCTGATCAGCACCGTCTCATGGAGCATCGCTTGATTTGCACCGCTGCTTTAACGGTAACTGGCGAAGTATTGCATAGCATGGACTGCTCCGAAGTGAGGCGCCACTCGCTTGCCAGGAATGGTAACCTTTGCTGAAGAACACGCCTGACACAATATTAGACCCATCAGGTAAGCGTCTTCAAAGTACAGCAGGGCATCCGAGCCCCTTGTTTTTAATGAACCACCAAGTGCATCAATGGCCCCCACTTCTGGTTAGTTCTAAATGCCCTAAATGTGTGTAGGGTTGAAGACATTTGAGCCCTGAAATAGTAGCCGCCCGAAGCGGTTCACAGAATCTCAGCAAAGTATAAAATATGGCCACTGAGCCACGAAGAGACAGCTCTTGGCTGAAAGGTCCCTTTGACCCGATGTGGGCCACTGCTGGACAAAACCCTGGCTTTGCCACGCGTGACAACAAGACATCCAGCTTAAAAGGGCACCCGTATCCCAACGAAGGGTTCCCTAAGCCCCGAGGAGTACTTTCCGCCCTTGCCTAAGACAGCAAGCCTTGCGAACCTTGTTGTACCTTAGGCGAGGTAAGTTTTTGGCTGGGAGGGCCCCTTTGCCCCATATGATGTCCTTTTCGACGAAATCCTGGGCACGCCATTGAGGGCGTTCCAGTGCGTCTGTGCCCATGTGGCTGCTGAATTTGATTGGGCCGCTGGTTTTCAAAAGACCCCTGCATACAATAAGGGTCCCTGCATACCCGGATCCAAAGATACACTGCTCATCTCTGGACAGTCTTTGGACTTAACCATGAGCTCTGGGTATATAAGAGAGTCAGGCTATTACTGTTATTTAGAATTCCCAGCGGCCCTTCATGTACTCGCCACACGAAGAAAAACTTGCACTCCATTTGGCAGCATCCGGTCAGAACGGCCGTTGTTCAGTGTTTCCCGTGCTATCGCCTTGCCTCGCCCACTATTCATGCCTCCTAACTAACATCCTATATGTCTTGAGTACCGGAAAATTCTAAGTCACCCAACACATAACGGCATAAGCCAAGGTAAGTCACAAGGCCGTTCTAGGCTAGAATACTTTATGGACAACGTTTCGTGGCATCGAGCGGGCGGAGCGAATCAAACGGCTTCCACAGTTTAACTAACGACAGATACAAACGTGACAGCCTTAGATACGGTTGTTGAACAGGCTGTGATGGTCATATTCACCACCTGTTGTGTTCCTCTCTAACATCTAAATAATTATTCTTATTCGACGCGATGACGTCCGTGGTAAATGAAACTGTCGTCTTAACATGCTATAAAAATCTACGGGAGTCTGCATGTGCGCGTTGTTTTAAACCTGCGATCTTACACCCTGTGCCCAATAAAGAATACAAACGGAACAACACTGAAGAAACGTCTTCCATGGATGGCCTTAAAATCAGAGAACCTTTTAAACATAGCTTACTGTGATGGGGGGCTTACTCAGCAACCAGAAAAGCGGTTCTAGCTTAACGGACAACGTTGTGAATGACAAAAAAAGCTAACAGCAAAAATAAAACAAAAATCAAAACTAATAAAAAAAGAGGAAGAGAGAGAGAGAGAGAGAGAGAGAGAGAGAGAGAGAGAGAGAGAGAGAGAGAGAGAGAGAGAGAGAGAGAGATATATATATATATATATATATATATATATATATATATATATATATTTATATGTATATATAATAACATGTCTAAAACATGAACACATATGATATGTGAAACTTATATGTGTATATATATATATATATATATATATATAGATATATATATATATGTCGGTATATCTTGGCAGAACGTTTTCCTATATGCATGCGTGATTAAAGGCGACCGCTGGCTCCGTATTAGCAAGCTTCTTAATGTATTGTTCGAGGTACCGGCTTTTGACTTAGCAGTGTCGTAAAGCTAAAACATTGCTGTTATAAAATCCCTCATGTATTCGTCGTTATCTGTACCTTCTAACGCTTCAAGACCTTATTTCATCGTCGGAGAAAACAGGAAAGACCCATTGCCCCAATCACATGCACAGTAACTACCGTCCACTTCCTAAAGCCTCAGGAGTTGTGCAACAATGCGTTTGGTTTAGAGAGAGTTCGTCGATAATTATGATCTCTCAAACTCGAAGGCGTCTTCTGCCGCTGCATGCCTGAAAAATATCAGTCTTGTCCGTCGGTCAGGCAGGACATAACGCGACAACAACTGGCAGACAACACTGGCATTCTTCAGACATGCAATGACAGAGGACGGCCTCAAATTTTGGAAAGCATATCTATCAACAAGTTATCTCCGGCCTTAAGCAACCAGAAAATTGTTCCACAGCACTTGAGTTGTTAACTAGTGTGCGGTAGCTGCTGTACATGTGGTTATGGCCATGTGCCTTTGTAGTGTTTTTATTCCAAATCCATTACATGCGAATCAAAGTACAGATTTGTCTTTTTGTACATGTAAAGTACATTTTTGTCTTTTTTGTACTACAGTGCTTTTAAGACAGCGATGCACAGCTTTCGTCCCTAAAAACATCAAAGTTATTATTGGTGTCATTCATATTCTAGTGTCTCAAAACGTTAGAATGTACAAATATCGACAAGTGATTTTGTACGACAGTTTTTATTTTAACGTCACTGCTGAGTCGAAAGCCCGGGGCCTCAAACGATGCATCAATCAGCATACTTAGGCGGAATCGGCGGTCGCTTAAAATCAAACACGCACACACACACACACACACACACACACACACACACACACACACACACACACACACACACACACACACACACACACACACACACACTCGCACATATATATATATATATATATATATATATATATATATATATATATATATATATATAGGTGTGCCATATGTATATCTGAAGTTTTTACACGGTCGCACGGCACGATGTCACGATGTCATTCTTCGCGATGCCCAGCCGATGTCAGTTGGCAGTCACTGGCGAGCCTATAAGTACGGCTGTAGGACGCGAGGCTTCATGTCCACATCATGTCCGACGGCCCACGGGTTTGGCCGCGCCGACGAAGAATGGCGTGAGTCGGACATCGGTCTCTGATGTGTGAAACAGACCACTGCCTGGAGTTACCACTCGTATAAGAATCATGTGGATGCGATTGCGCTGGCACCAGACTGCGCCACTCACGCTGAGTGTCGACTAACTGACCTAACAGCCGGCGTTTCGCAGTGCTCAGGAAGGCGTTCGATGGTTTCGACCACGAGAAGAAGGGCGCCATCAGCACCGATCTTGTGGGCACCATCCTCAGGATGATGGGACAGGCCTACAACGCACATACGCTGCGGGAACTCATCGACGAGGTGGACGCCGACAGTGAGTGCGCCTGAGCTCAAAGACAGTGGACGTCGGCGTGGATCGTATCTGAGCCCTGAGACGGTGGACACCAACAGTAAGCGCATCTCAGCGCAAAGGCGGTAGCGTACCTCAGGGCAAGTGTACGGGTGGATTCTATCACGACAGCAACTACAGGGCCAGCCGTACGCGAGGAAGCTGACTGTTCGGTAGGAATGGAACATGGAACGCGGAAGCTTGCCTCTTGCCTTACCTTGCCTTGCCTGAAGGTTGTTTGGAACTGCGCAGGCTTCTGCGCTCTATTTGACCATGGAACCCGTGGGACTTTCTGGACAAGCGTGAGAGGCAGACCTCTGGATCGCTGCATGTGAGGTGTGCAGAAATCTGGTCGGATGCATGAGGACATTCGGTCATACATGACTGTCGGGAAAAGGCAGCGTTATGTGATAAAATTTGCACACCCGGGTGCAAGGAGACATGGCGGAACGCTGATGGGGCTTCAAATTTCGAGGTCCATAAGACGCTTGTCACGCGCGTCGTTGGCTACTGCGTCGTTGGCAACTCCGCGTCGTTGGCTACTGCACCGTAGAACACGGTGGTAGAGGCCGCTAGGAGATGACGATGTAGCAGGTCGCTGTTGACGGTAGCAACCAGGTGGCAACCACTCACTGTTACAGAATCCGGAATGCTAGAGTTCGAAGAGTTCGTCACCCTTGCTGCCAAGTTCATCATCGAGGACGACGCTGAAGCCATGTCCAAGGAACTCAAGGAAGCATTTCGTCTTTACGACAAAGCCGGTAGCGAACGTGGCGGACATAGGCTATCATTGGATATGCTGTCTTGTAACCACGTAGAGTTCGGTTTGGTTTGGTTCGGGCTACCTTTACTTAGGGCTGATCACCATGTGTTATCGAGCAGTCGAAAAACGATAATCGTGTAATCGTCTCCCTCACTTTCTTGAGAGACAATCTATGATGCTCCACCTCTAAACGATGGTAACTTGTTAAGTTCTGATTTGGTCAAACCATGCGAAAAGGTGCGAGGGACGTCACAGCGCAATGCAGCGATTTTCATTATTCAAACCAGCCATATTATCTGCATGCCCTGGCATATCGCTTCTGTTCCTATCCGGTCAGGGAACGGATACATCCCTACCTCGTCTCTGTGTGAGATTCTGAAGGAGCTGGACGACACACTGAGCCCGTCCGACCTGGAGAACATCATCGGCGAGATCGACACGGACGGCTCGGGCACGGTCGACTTCGACGGTGCGCCCCCCCCCCCCCACCCCCCCCCCCCCCCATACCACGTCACACGTTTGTCGGATGCTGACTGGCTCCCCACTGATCCCTGTGAAGGGCAGACAGTCCGGCAACCGTCTTTGCAATCACATGTGCCAGCAGTGCAGCCTTTGTACAGCATGCTCTTCGGCTACGTCACGTTTCTCGAGTTGTCTGTCCGATCAGGACACGAGGAGATACCTGCGCCGCTAACGTAGGAAGGCGATGAAGCGACACTACTCGAGACGGACATGACACGATAGATGAGCATACTGATATAATGTAATGGGTACCCAAGCCTACTTTAATCACATATTCAGCTTGACCAAGATTACATAGATCACGTTTTCAGCTTGGCCATGTAATTTTCTGTTTAAGTCAGAAAGTCAATTCTCACGGTGGCATCAGAATCAGAACGAGTTCATTTCATCAGCAAGTGCTTGTCACTAGCTCCAAAATAGATTGGCAATTGGAAAAGTCATGCCAACGTGCGTGTGCGTCGGTCATATAGATAGGCGGACGGCTGCATGCCTTTAAGAGGCTGGTCAGTAAAGTTTGAGTAGCCAAGCTGGAAGTTCAGTTCAGTTGTGTTCTTGTCCATTACAACAGCCCAGCACGCTTCGTTGCTGTACCCTGCTCCTGTATTACTCTCTGTACGTTCTTAGTTTTCCATTCTTCAACTGTCTGGGCCATGGCACTCTTATACCGGTGGTATGTAATTTGTTGCACATAATTTCATAGGTGATGCAACTGGTTCGTCTTATCCCTACAGAGTTTATGGAGATGATGACGGGCTGAGGTGTTGCTGCTATTGCTGCTGCTTCTGCTGCTGCGGACCTGCTGAACAAACGAAGATCATGTCTGGTGACGTTGGCGGAGCAGGTACTCATTACTGCAAATCAGATCCTGCAAAAAGTGAAGCCGTCCTTTCGCGAATTGTCCTTCAGAACTTCTACAGATGCTCATGCTGTCGGGCCTGTACACTGTTCAACAAGGTCACGATGCACCTTGCTGTCTCATTTGAATAAACAAGCAGATATTAGGATGTTCAGCTTTTTTTAACTCGGCGTATCGACATTCCTATTACTACAATCGCCGGGAGCCTAAGGGCCTGCGGCCATGAACATCACGAGCGAGTCAATAATGCTGTGGCGAATGTCCCTAAACAAAAAGGGTCAAGCAGACATGAGCCTAATTAGCGTGACCCGGCAGGTCAGTCATAATAAACAAGAAAAAACAAACAGAAAATTATACCGGTTGACGTATTTTGCTCGCACGCCATGTATGGAATCGACGGGGTGGTATCTTTTGCCAGCATATCTGTGCCTGACTGCTGTCATCTTGGAGCGCAATAGCTTACAAGGGTATGAGATCATTTATTAATACAGCACGAGAGCAACCGTTGGCCAATCGGCACCGGATGACACTACATAGTTGCCTTGTTGGGCAGAATATCCCTACATTCCGACTGAAGACTATCTATATATCGTTAGTCAATGGAGCCGTCTTCGGGAGGTTTAGCCGTGTTCGACAGCAATCCAGCCTTGGCGTCCTCTGCGTCGGCCTGGGCTGCGGCTGCGTCCGGCGGCTGCGGGCTGCTGGGGCCAGCGGGCGGGCTGGAGGCCGACGCCCGCGGCCGACCCCCAGGGGACTGCGCTAGGGTCTCACCCGGCCCCACTCCGCCCGCCTCCCCGGTCGGGGCGCCGGACGACCTCGCCCGAGACGGCACGTACCGCTCCGGCTCGTCAGGGACTCGGTCCGCCTCCGGACCACGCAGCATGCTCTTCAGCTCCATCGACACGGCCTTGGCCACTGAGCCACCGTCACCGCGGCGGTCGGCCGACTCGGCCGACAGCTCCGGCGCCGGGGGCTTTCGGGGGCTGGCCTCGTCCTCATTTAACCAGGACGGCAATGCACGCTTTTCCGCCTGCTCCTCATCGACTTTACCTGGCGGCATAGATGGCGCCACCTGGTTCTGCCCGGCAGATCTACTTTCAGCTGACAACGTAGGTGGCGCCACCTGATTCTGTCCGGCAGGGACGACTTGACTTGACTTGGCCGGCTGTCCCCGACTTTTGGCCGGTCTGACCTGACTCTGCTCGGCAGATATGCCGTGGCTGGCTTCAGTAGGTCTGGCCTGGCCTTGCTCGGTAGGCATGCCCTGACTCGCTCCAGTAGGTCCGGCCTGGCCTTGCTCGGTAGGCATGCCCTGACTGGCTCCAGTAGGTCTGGCCTGGCCTTGCTCGGTAGGCATGCCCTGACTGGCTCCAGTAGGTCCGGCCTGGCCTTGCTCGGTACGCATGCCCTGACTGGCTCCAGTAGGTCCGGCCTGGCCTTGCTCGATAGACATGCCCTGACTCGCTCCAGTAGGTCCGGTCTGGCCTTGCTCGGTAGGCATGCCCTGACTGGCTCCAGTAGGTCTGGCCTGGCCTTGCTCGGTAGGCATGCCCTGACTGGCTCCAGTAGGTCCGGCCTGGCCTTGCTCGGTGGGCATGCCCTGACTGGCTCCAGTAGGTCCGGCCTGGCCTTGCTCGGTAGGGCATGCCCTGACTGGCTCCAGTAGGTCTGGCCTGGCCCTGCTCGGTAGGCACGCCTTGACCGACTCCAGTAGGTCTGGCTTGGCCCTGCTCGGTATGCACGTCTTGACCGGCCTCAGTAGGTCTGGCCTGACCCTGCTCTGCAGCCGTAGTAGGACTCTGCTCTTCATGTGTAACATCGTTTGAGCCACGTGACCCGTCTTCACTTGGCTTTGCCGGCGTGGCCAGATTTGACTCGTCAGGTATCTGACTTGGCTGGATAGTTGGACCCGTCACGATGCGTTCTAGACTGTGAGCAACAACGTCGACATCGTCAGTAGATGTAGTCGACCAAGATGATCCCCTCTTGGATGGGAGCTGCCGTCCGGACTGACTCGTGCGTTTTTTGTGCTTGTGCCTGTGCATTTTGGATTTTCGAGCGCTTTTGGGTGTCTTTCTTGGTATTTCAATTGTATGGGCTGGCGCGTCAGCTTCATGGTCAACAGTTGGCTCTGCAGACGTGCTGCCACCAGGTTCTGGCAAAGACACTGCGTCATGGTCGGCCAAAGGGTCATGTGGCGGCGACACACTAGTGGCACTTTCGGCTGACTTGTGCTCTGTCACAGCATCTGGCGAACTGACTGGTATGTTGGAAATGTCGGAAACACTTGACTGAACGCGTTCCCCGTCGGATGCTTCTCGCTTTGGCCCGGTGTCTTCCGCTGTTCCGTTCAAGTCTGAATGAATATCCGGAAATATTGACGAAATACGATGTTTTGCTGTTGGGGATTCAATGCGTATCTGTTCCTTGTCGAGAGTAACTGGAGGCATGGTGTTCTGAACTTCTTGTTCAAGCCCTCCTTCCATGCTGTTTAGTCCAGCCGGATCTCCTCCTGTTGTGCGTACACCAGCGTAATTTTCCCCGGTTTCGCTCGGTGTAGTCAGGCCGCTTTCGGTTCGGCTCGGTCCAGCCCCGGCCTCAACTTGACCACCCAGTTTCGCCAGGTCGCCTCCGGCTTCTCTGGGCTCGGCCTGACCTTGCCCCTGGTCCGTGTCACACTGCAGCTTGCTCGGCGGCATCGGCAGGGTCTGGGCGGTGTGCTTCTTCTTCATCAGCTGGGAGGCGCGACCGCGGAAGTTGCGCAGCACGCTGCGAGCGGACGACCGGCGTCGCTGCTCGGTCGACCCCGGCTCGGGTAGCAGCTCGTTCCAGGCCAGCACCAGATCGAATGGGCCGTCGGCCTCCGAGCCGGCCCGATGTCGGCCGTGGTCGAACGACTGCACCCTGATGTAGCGCGGCTTCATCTGCTCCGGCTGCAGAGAACGGAACACAGCTTAACACACTGCACCCTGATATAGCGCGGCTTCGTCTGCTCCGGCTGCAGAGAACGGAACACAGCTTAACACACTGCACCCTGATATAGCGCGGCTTCGTCTGCTCCGGCTGCAGAGAACGGAACACAGCTTAACACACTGCACCCTGATATAGCGCGGCTTCGTATGCTCCGGGTGCAGAGAACGGAACACAGCTCAACACACTGCACCCTGATGTAGGGCGGCGTCACCTGCTCTGGCTGCAGAGAACGGAACATAGCTCAACACACTGCAGCCTGATGTAGCGGGGCTTCGTCTGCTCCGGCTGCAGAGAACGGAACACAGCTTAACACACTGCACCCTGATATAGCGCGGCTTTCGTCTGCTCCGGCTGCCAGAGAACGGACACAGCTTAACACACTGCACCCTGATATAGCGCGGCTTCGTCTGCTCCGGCTGCAGAGAACGGAACACAGCTTAACACACTGCACCCTGATATAGCGCGGCTTCGTCTGCTCCGGCTGCAGAGAACGGAACACAGCTAAACACACTGCAGCCATCATGTCCGTGCGCATGCGGGACGACAGAACAGCATGGGTGCAGGAGGAGCCTCCCCCCTTCCGGGCCCACATATTTTGCTTCAGCGTTATAGATGTCTCCTTTGGTTTCCTAAAAAAGTGTGTTAAATGAGCTTTCTTCTCCCTCCCGTTATGAAAATCCTGACCGCTGTCCTACAGATCAGCGTGCGTTACTGAATTAATAGACACGTTACCGCAGCGTGGATGAGCTGCCAGACGCAAACAAAGCAGTATTTACAAAACCAGTGAAGCTAGGAATCAACTGTGCGACCACTGACAGGCAACTGAAACTAATTAAACTTGACCTGTGTAGAAACGAGGAACTATCGCGGTAAAACGCTGGCATCGCATGTTCCTACGACGTACTATGGATAACTTTGGAGTGGCACAACGTTAAACATTGGTCATTTTTATTTTACTGATAAAATCCTTGGCTAATTGAGCAATAGATCAGCAGCTGTGATACACTTAAAACGGAATAACCCTGCATTTTTTCGTGAAATATCTGGAAATACACCTGCCTAAAGCGCGCAATAGGTTTGGTAAAAATCCCGGTTACCTTAAGGATGTAAGGTTCTGGAGCCTCGATGACATGGACTGGCGCTGGTGCTGAGCCGTCCGGCTGCCGACAGACTGGTGGCTCTCTCGGAGGCCTGGGTTTACCGACCCATTGCCACCACGGCCCGCGATACACACCCGCCATCATTTGCAATTCGTTCACCATGTGAATGCACTGGAAGATCAACACCACTAGCACGAATGTTTCGAGCAAAAGAAGGATTCCGACAAAAATGGCGTGGTTTCTCGCCCAGAACTGCACCGCCAGAAGACAGCCTCTTGTGAAGATCGTTCTGCTGGCGATGTTGCGGTCTAGTTTTTGCATGTTGCGTCCACAGAGCGGGTTATCTACGCCAGTTCCGTTTCTGCAGCAGGACCAGGGGACGCCGCAGCGCTCCGCACTCGGGCTTTCCTCCGAGCAGTTAAAGTAGACACTCCTAGACCAGTCTTTGAAGCCATCTTCCCTGAGCCCGCAGCACTGAAACGTGTCTTGCAAATAGTCCATAGTCGTTTCGATGTCCGTATTGGCTCGGTAGCTGGTGATCACTTGGTCATTGATAGAATTCACGATAATAGACCTGGCAGTTCCAGCGAAGACAAACACAAACGCGACCGTGCATAGCTTGACTGTGAGGAATGCGATGAGCGATACGTAAAAAATGCGTATCAATATTACATTCTCACGCAACACTCCAATGATTCCAAAAAGCGTGAAAGTGAACGCTATGAGACCCATCAACAGCAGTATAGTAGAAAAACTTAAAACGCGAATTGAAAAAGTATCAGGCGATGCTTCCTCATTCAATTTTCGCGTATTGATGACATATGCACCGATGCATATCATAATCACGCTTGTGCACCAGAATATGCTGATAACGACAATGAGAACATACTTGTTAATCTTGTTGACCCTGTCAACGTGATGAGCACGCGTTGGAAACGGCTCCCATGAACATTTTTTTCGTACGTCGTCAAGAAACTTCGCAAAACCAGTTTTTGGCGCTGTTTTTGCTTTCTTTTTGACATTGCGCTTCTTGCCTTTTTGTTTTCCTGCAGACTTGCCAGATTTTCTCTCACTCTTTGGCTCAGTATTCCTGGGCGTGTCATGCTCTTCGCTTATCTTTGTAGGCATGTCGCTCAGGGCGGATCATAATGGCTGCATAGCGTCAGTAGATCCGCTGCAGTCGAGGAACACGCCACAGTGTCTTGTTTGTTGACTCACATTACTGTCAGGCTGAGCTGCCATTACTTTCGAAGGATGTGTCACATATATAACTCTACAGTAACTGCGCTCCAGCAACAGAGAACACACAGTAACGTGCACTGGAATATTAAAGAGTACTACATGTTGCATTATCAGGTTATCCAACACACACCGCCGCGCACAGAGGCATTACAGATTGGATTGCACGGCATGGGCCAGTCAGACTAGTTGAATTTTAAGTGAAAGTGCTATTGACATAACCACATCCTCCTGCTTAAAGATACCAGGTTTGCGATGCATGATTTGTTCAGCAGAGGAGCCTGCTGGGCTCAGAATGCAGAGGCTTGCAAATGTACGATGTCCTTCCCCAATCCACTCGCTATCCATGGTGTGCAGGTGTAACCATGCCCAGCCATATACAGGCAGTTGTACCCATTCGTTACGCACCCGTTGACATTTTTTAGCACTTAGGTTCATAATTTTATCAGAGCTTCAGGGCAGGTTTCACACAGTTTTCCACTGTGATACTCAAAAGCAGTGCGAACAAAGTCGATTGTGTCAGGAGGCATAATCAGTAACACTGGATAATATTTCGAAGCGTTTATCAGATATTATGAGCCGTTTAATTTCACCGTTTAGAACCTTATAGAGCACTCAGACCAGAAGAGGGCGCTTGAATGCGGGTTGCCACGAACTTGACAGGGTCCCTGGTATGTCCTGCAACCGCTCAGGCCTTTCTCTCTGCGTCAGGCGTAGTCGTCGGTCTTGGAAATGCGGCTCTAAAAGCTGATGACTAGGCACTGTGCATTGAATAGGACGAGCCTTCAATACGTTCGGGCCGACAGTGCCCACTCTCGGATTACTGTTGCGTGGACCGTGCGCACGTGCCCCTGGACATTCCCGCCCGGGTACGCAGGACACATGCGAGGTGCACACATGGACTGCTGTTGCACATTGCCGGTTTGCGAGATAGGTTTCTTGCGTGTATGATCAGACGCCCTCCGACACAAGTGCGCACTCTCTCAGACACAAGCGGGGACTACCGCCGCAGCCCCCTGCGCAGGACTGACTCGTAGCTCGTTAGGCCGAGGCGCCATGATGAACTGGTCCAGACCTGGTGGCTGCTGTAGACCTGGTGGCTGCTGCACCGACAGTCCAACCGACAGACCAATATTGTTCGGAGATTCCGGAGACCCTCAGAGGCTGGGGCTGCTCAGTCTGTTTCACGGATATTGCAGTGCAATGATACGACTGAAGCAATAAGTAATGTAATATAACGCCATTAGATGAAGAAAATCGCGGCATTAATATGTGTATCGCGATGTGCCACCTCGAACCAATGATTAAATACGTTCCCACTTCAGAACAGTATCCTTTGTTGCAGTTGGTAAAGCAACAACAGTGTTGAAGCCGAACAGTTGCCAGGTAACCCAGGTGTTCGAGAATGGCGGGAGCAAGGATGAACAAATTCAATGGCGAGGGCAGACAGGGTATTGGAGAAAAATGAACTATTCTTTATATTATCACACATTGGCGTAAGCACAGGATATTGGAGAGAAAAAATTAAGACTAGTTTTAAGAGTTAAAGCAAAAAATGTGTCTTCGAACAAGAGTCAAGTCATTTACTTCGCGGACAGGACACAATCGCCTTTCGCTTCAACTTCTCAGACGATCTGGTCTTGCGATAATAAACCTTCCGAAACATTCTTTATATGTCAGAAGGCTCAATAAAAAACCTCGCACGTTAGTTTGTACTTTAGCGTAGTCCTGCGTATTGTCCAAATAAGATGCTTAGTGCCAGGCCCCCTTCCACTCTCTCGGAGCCGCATCTTCAAACCAGACAAACAACCCATATGCTATCTATTCGCTCAGATAGTGGACGCCTTGTCTTCCGATTCAATTAGGCGGACGCCTTGTCTTCAGATTCAATCATTCTGAATGGCGACAGCTCATTCAACGTGGCGCAAAGTTAAGCGATCCCGGCAGGAAAAACGTCTCGCAGCCAAGGCGCAGCACAGCCTGGGTTTGAAATGTTTCACGAGTCGTTCAGATCATGCCGGTCCTCTCAGATCATACCGGTTCCCGTGCGAGGCGCCTTCAGACGCCTGAAACAGTTGGGAAGAAGAGTTCTCAATTTTTTATTAATCACACTAATTTCGTACAGCGTAGGTCACTCGGTCAATATTCACCGTAATAGCCCTGCCCGCCGAAGCCATCTTGGCCAGTGAATCTGCCCCCGGAGGAGCTGAATCGACCACCGGAGCTACCGGAGCTACCGCCGGAGCTGCCGCCGGAACCAGTGCTAAATGATCCAGACGAGCTGAATCTGGTACCAAACCCACCCTGGTGAAACCCTGATCCGCCAGATCCGGACCCGGCATCCCCCGATCCAGAGCCACCAGATCCGGCCCCAGCATCCCCAGAGCCACCAATTCCAGAGCCGTCCGATACAGATCCAAATCTGAACAAAGAAGATGTGAACGTAGAGGTAGCCACTGGGTCGGACGAACCGCCGGAACCGCCGGAAGAACTACTGGAAGAACTACCGGAAGAACTACCGGAAGAACTACCGGAGGAAAAACTACCGGAAGAACTACCGGAAGAACTACCGGAAGAACTACCAAAACGGACTGTGCTGTCACCAGACTGACCGACGGTGAAGAGGTCGCACACAGTCACAGTTTGCGTCTGGGTGAAGGTCGGCAGCGTGCTGAACACATCTCTCGTGATGGTGGTGCGCAGTGTGCGGTACTCGGTGTTGACCACCGATGTGCCATCGAACACGACGCTCGTCGTCACGGCCGTGCGCGTGCGCGTCACCGTGCGCAGCTCGGTCCGTACGAAAGTGCTGGACGTGACGAACGTCTTGAAGGTGGTCATGACTGCCGTCACCGTCGTCTGCACCGGCACAGTGACGGTCACCGTCACGTAGTTGTTTACTGTATCCGTGAAGGAGACGTGATCGGTCACAGTCCGCAGCCGGGTCTCGACCAGGAAGTTGGTCGCCACCTGGAAGAAATGGATTCGGGCGATGATGGGGCATGAACAGCAACCAGGAAAACTATACTACGAAGCACATACGGGGTCGACGTGCTATCGCTAGTTCCAAGTAACCAAAGCGAGCAGATAACCCTACAATGAAAAAATATTAACCGATTATCAGGTGTAGAAATATTTCCAAGCACCGCTTTCATAAAGCTGTGCAGCATGATCGCAGCGTTCCTGTCTGCCAGAGATAGGAGCGGACAAATTTCCAAGCACCGCTTTCATAAAGCTGTGCAGCATGATCGCAGCGTTCTTGTCTGCCAGAGATAGGAGCGGACAATTGTCCGCCAGCGGGAGGGACGAAGAAAAGGGAGAAAAAGGCTACGAGAACGATGCAGACGATGCAAAGCGCTTACCCTGTAGGCGGTGTTTGTGATGATCCTCTGGGCGGTGCCGATGTTCCCGGGGTTGACCTGGGTCACGTAGTGGGTGATCGTGAAGGGCGTGGGCCGAAGCACGGTGGCAGTCACGTACTTCGTCTGGACAGTCGCGTCCACAGCGTGGAGCTGGTTGGTGGACGTGGTGTACGCGAACCTGGTGCTGGTAACTATGCGCGTCGAGGTGGGGCACGAGAAGGACGCGTCGAGAGCGGGGCCGGAGAACCGCCCAGAGACGGAGCCGGCGCCGGAACCTCCAGAGGAGCCGGCGCCGCCGGAAGCGCCGGAGCCTCCGGAAGCGCCGGAACCTCCGGATGGTCTGAAGACTGCGAACCCGCCCGTGGTAGTTTCAGTGACAACGCTGTCGCCGCCTGATCCTCCGGTGGCCCCAGATCCAGAAGCGCCAGAGCCGCCGCCAGAGGCGCCAGAGCTGCCGCCAGAGGCGCCACCGCTGCCGAACCGGACAAATGTCCCGGCAGAATCTGCGAAACATGCGGCCACCATCACAAACACAAACATCGCAGTGCTCGCCCGGAAATCCAGTGAGCTCGGCTGGCAATGTTTCCTCTCAAGTTTGTATACAAACGTATATACACCGTGTACTCACCTGCCGAAAACTGCTACGTCTCATTGCACATAGGATGTATTGGCATGCCTTATGCCTTTTACGATATATCCGATAGACCGCTGGTTTTTAAGCCTTCATTTTAGCCGCGCCCGTGAAAAGCTCCGTGCCTCGTTGTACCTCCCGAATCATGAATTGCGACAGGATATCGAGTATAACAGTTGTATCTCCTCGTCTGTTGGACGGATGAGCAAAATTTTGCTCTTGCTAGGATCGCCGAGTCAGTCAACTCTACAATGCCCATGTCACACATATCAACTAATACTCCATGCGTCTAAACGCATCTGTCACAGCTCCAGCGTCAGCGAGCCGCGCAGTAACGACACCAATCGAAATACGCTAGCCTTTGAAGTCTTGTGCACGCCAGGGACTGCAAAGGCAGCCGGACCAGTCACCGGACTGCCGCGGGCGACGCGCCGACAAGCCAGGCACCAGACCGCCGGGTACCAGACTGCCGCGCACAAGCTCCGCCGACACCGCCCAGCAGCGGCCGACAGGCCAGGCACCGGACCGCCGGGTACCAGACCGCCGGGTACCAGCCCCCGCGCAAAACTCCGTAGACACCGCCGCGCGGCGGCCGACAGGCCAGGAACCAGACCGCAGCGCACGAGTTCCGCGGACACCGCCACGCAGCGGGACCGACCACCAGACCGCCGCGCGCGAGCTCCGCGGACACCGCCCCGCGACGCCCAACAGGCCAGGTACCAGACCGCCGCGCCACGAGCTCAGCGGCCACCGTACCACCAATTTGCGAGCGTACCATCACTCGGCCACCAGTTTGTATGAGAAGCCAGAGCGATCCAAGTCTTACGCCAGCAGCCCGAGCGGTCCACATCTACGGGAGACTAACCTGGCCGTCCGCTGAACTGGTTCAGATTGGCTTGCCGGTGGGCCTGGTAGCTCTCGTAGTAGCCTTGCTCCTGGCCATGGGCACAGAGCGCCAAACTGACCACTAACAGCCACAGCATCCTGAAACGGCAGGCAGGGCCGGCTCAGGCCGGCGGCAGCAAATGAAAAGGTCGCTTTCAAAACTCTGGGTTTCCAGACATTTCTCCACGCAAAATGTCGGAGCTCAGACATACGACTAGCTACCTAACCAATGTGGTCGCGCATATGCACGCGACAGCGTGTTCACGGCACTGCCAAAAAATAGCACAAGACATTGTGCGACGAAACTCGTGCTACTGCAACAATACAAGGGAACTCAGGAAGAGACCAGCACTGTATAGCTAGGAGCTAACCTGAACAGCAAACACAGGCCACCGCATTTAACACAACATGCCACAGAAACGGGATAAACCAGTCATAGCGTCCAAACCACAGACCACACTACCCCCAAACAGCTCCGCTCACCTGATTCGATAACGCGCGCTACCTGTCCGGCCGCCCTTCCACGACTGCCGCTCCTCAGCTGAGCCAGGTCAGAGGTCAACACTGAGTCACGTGGGGCGCCAACCCGTGCCCTCAGGCTATGGGTGGTGATCCGAGCGGCGGCGCCATCAGAGGGCCGCGGCGCAACGCACACAGGCAATGAACACACCATGACATAGAAGCGTATAACCACCCCGGCGTCTGCGCAGAGACTGTTCAGTTCTCGATAGCACTGTTCGCTCGTATAGGAATATAATCTTCACGCGGGTTTGCCACATTCCCCCGCCCTCCCTGGAGTTATATTATAGCAACATTTCCAACTGCTAGAGCTAGTGTTCTAAGAATTGCTCCATTCTTTAAAAAACAATTTTTTCGAACAGTCGAAAAGCTGAGTAAGTTTTGAAAATAGTGTATGGTGATAGATATTCACATTTACTCTATTTCCTTTTGAGACAATACGACAAGATAAGGCCTGATAATTTTAACGCCTAGCATAAATAACAAATAAGAACGCTAGTGTCGTGTCAGTGTCGTTGGTTATGACAAAATAATATTTTTTCGTACACGTTTAGTATTTATAGACACTTCAAGGCTGTTAATTAGTTTCGTTCATGGCGAGCCATGCCCCCGGATGGCAGTTCCCCCACCCTCATAGGTGGGAGGGGGGAGGACTCGGTAGCCCGCATTAACCACAAATGAAAATCCCTGATTTGGCAGCAAGCAAGATGTCACCATTGGTATGACATGGTGCTTAAAAGCACTGTATCCACCGCGCAAGTTTGATGGGAGTCGGGGGGATTGAAGCTGGAGACGGCTGCCCTCTTATATGTGATCTGCCATGTGAATAAAAGTATTCGCTAAGCTGCAAAGTTTGCAGTTTAGAATCTTCCATCGATTTTTCCTTACGTAAGAATATCTTTCCTCAAGGCAGGCCAAAGACAAACCGCTCTGTGAAGAACGTATTCTGGTTGACGAGTGGCTACACTATTTTTTAAGTGCAAAAATTTTGGACCGCCGATAAAACTGTTGGATCCTCAAGAGAGATAATCGATTCTCCTTTAGGCGAGTAATCGTACGCAAGGAAGCTGATCTGCTGGTCGGTTTCCCCAGGGGAAGGCAATGAGTAGACGCATTTTGATGGGGAAGCAGCTTAGCATGATGCAGAAATTCAATGAAGGTATCATCACTTATGACCTATATCATGAATTTCTTCGCCGGCAATTTGACATGGAAAAGGAAGGTGCTCTTTAGAATAACCGAATGAATCATTTCAAGGCTAAGTCGCTGTCACTGATTTCAAATGGTGTCTGTTTTGATATGTAAATTTAAGTTATTATATGGAATGTCACGTTTTATAGCGTGATACCTGGCTGTCATGCATATAACTGATGACATTTCACCAAAAAAATCGTAAAACCAGCACAACACACAACTTAAAAACGAAAAAACCTTTTATTGTCACCTTTTTACCGCGATATTGAAATGTTATGTATATATGTTTCATGTCATGCATGCCACCTTATGTCCGTCGCGTCTCGTCTACCCCGCCGTGGTCGCCACCCGGCCGCCGGCTCTGCAGCGGCAGATCGCGGCCCGCGGGGCCGGCTGTATGGCCGGCCGGGTCACGCGGGTTCACGCGGTCGGCAAGAGGTGGCGGCCCGGCACCGCTGCGCAGGGGTTTCAGCGATGTACCGCGAGGCAGCGCTAGCGGCGGGGAGATGCTGCAGCTCATCGACCGGTCCTTAGGCCTAGGAGATGTCATGTACGTTGTGCGTACTGCACAAGAGAGTAAAAAGCGAATGGTTAAACGTGAGCAACAGCCCCGTCAGCATGAAACCGCCTGCAGGTGACGAACAATACCTGGAAGCAAATATGCGCAGCACAAGGTAAAGAAGGAAAAATGTACGAGAATTGTCTCTGCTGAGTAGTTTGTCGCCGACTACACATGTGATTGCTGTGTTGGTGTGAATTCCAAGCCGAGTGTAAGCGTTAGGATGTCGACATTAATAGGAAAATATCATCTTTAAAAGTGGTTTAGTTTGAAGAGCGTCAGGAAGAGTACAATTTGGTCTGCCAATTGAATTGTTCAGGTCCCGAAACTGACACTGCACGGCGTAAATGCGTCGCATTATACTTTATAGGAGCGACTGAATCCATTCCCTTTATGCAGTGTGTCGTTTGGGTCCACTAAACAAGCCACATTCCAAAACCTGCTCTGCCCCGCTTTTCACCCCACGAGTGTGGCCATTGAAAGCTTTTCGACTCATTCACGCCAAAAGAAAGCTCGCGCTCCAGCGGCCCGGCTGAATCACCAACGTTAACGGCCGTGCTGTGGATTCCGGGGTTTGGTAGTCAGTAGGTCAGATCGACCCATGATGTAGTTCGGGACTCATTGCATTCGCTGAGATCTCGTCCAGAGTCAAACGTCCGATGTGGTACGGAAAGAAACGAGATGCGCGACAAACGGTAGGAACGTGATGCTGCGGACGAAAAGTTATCGTTAAGTTTATCGGGAATGCATGGACGTGAGTCAAGAAGAATCTCTTGAGGGCTGATATTATGGTACTTACCGCGGAAATTCTCCTCCTACTTCTTGCTAGCCTTATTCTAACTGCTAGGCTACATTCTGTATGGTTACGTGTCATATATGAATAGCGTGCTGGAAGGCGGGAAAAGGCGGACCTTGCTTACCTGTGGGAGGATACATGTGATCCTTATTTGACCTCCCGTTATAAAAAACATTGGCCATATTTGTTACTCTCTCCGAACTTCATTACCTTTGCAGAGATGACGCATTTGCAGGGCGCGTGAGCTGGTTATTAACCAATGTGGGTTAAATTCATGCAGCGCGGCAGGAGGTGGCTGGCTCCTTTTCAACTAACATTCCCAGCCGCTGATAGTGTGTCTAACAGCCGCACACAGCCGCCAGCACTGTCCGTCCCTGCTCCAGATCTGCGATGCGTCATCATGCGTGTCCACCATCGACGTGGCCGACGCTTCCGACCCCCAGGCGCAGCGGCCGGTCGCTCAGCTGCCGTCCCGCCTACGTCACGACGGCAGCTGGGCGCCCGGCGCGCCGGCCCTGTTTTTCTTGGAGCGGCCGCGCCCGCGGCACCACACATTCTCGGACCGCCGTCGCCGCCGTCGTCGCTGCCAAAGTCGACGTCGACGCCGGGTCCCCGCGTAAAAATACACGCGGCGGCGCGCGGCGGTCGGCTGCGTCGGACGCAGGCCGCCGCCCGGCCGGCGCCGGCCGGGAGCCGGGCGGCGCGGCCGGCGGCTGCCGCCGTCTGCGGCCCAGCTGCAGCGGTCGCCCCGCCGCCAGCCTCCGTGCCGCGCCGCCGGGCCTGGGCAGGCTGGCCGAGCGCGCCGTGGCCCGCTGCGCGCCTTGCTGCAGGCTGAGGCTCGACATGACTTACATCAACGGTGGAAATACTTAATTTAATAGCTCGATGAGCGGTTCGTTCCATTGGTTGACTGTGAGCCAATACAAATGCATCGGTCTGCACGTTGCAACCACAGCAACGGCTGATGCGCCGTTCGTTGAACATGGGTCAAACGTCAAAACACAGGTGGCGTCACACTGTTGTGCCTCATGGGTGACACCAACTGTCTAGGAGCGAGGCGTAACATAAACGCACGTTGCAGATTCTTCTAGTTTCAAGTCCACTTAATGCCATTTTCATGAGGCCCTGTTGACATTTCTCTAAGATGAATGTTAGTGCATTCCCCATTCAGGGGAAAAGCATCCGGCAACACTGCGAACAGGCCGATGTTAGTGCTACGTTGCTCTCAGATCACCAATGTAGAACGTGGTGCACATAGTCCAAACGTTGCGAAATATGCTCTAAAGTAGCGCATGGCAGGCAGGCTCCAGCAACACGCTCCTCCAAAAAAAGACGCTCCCTTGCAGATGATAATGGCACATGGAAATCCCCACCAAACGATGCGCTCTGTGGCTTGGTTTCCAAAACAACAACAGCGTTGCAGCGGGTGTTAGCCGATTTGCTGGATTAGCTAGCAAATGACAGGTCCTGGCAATGCATCTACATAGTTCAGTTTATGAAGCTATGTTATTGCCGACCGAATGGCAAGGCACAATGACACGCCTGGTCAATGATCAGATTTTGACACGCAGCATCTCCTGATGTTTCTGACATCCTGCGCATCTTATCAACTAAGTGTGAGCCTGACTTGGTCACACAGCTGCTGTGTCCGCCGTCGCTACAGCCGGCGTATCTTATGCTGGTTCTGACTTGGTCACACAGCTGACATTTCTACTGTCGCTACAGCCCGTGCGTCTTGTACTGGTCCTGGCTCGGTCACACAGCTGACGTGTCGGCCGTCGCTACAACCCGTATGCCTCGTCTCGGTTCTGACTTGGCCACACAGCTGACGTGTCAGTCGTCGCTACAAGCCGTATGTCTCGTCTCGGTTCTGATTTGGCCACACAGCTGATGTGTCCGCCGTCGCTACAGCCCGTGTGTCTTGTCTCGGTTCTGACTTGGTCACACAACTGACGTGTCCGCCGTCGCTACAGCCCGTGTGTCTCGTCTCGATCATGACTTGGTCACACAGCTGACGCGTCCGCCGTCGCTACAGCCCGTGTGTATCGTCTCAGTTCTGACTCGGTCACACAGCTGACGTGTCCGCCGTCGCTACAGCCCGCGTGTCTTGCCTCGTTTCTGACTCGGTCACACAGCTGACGTGTCCGCCGTCGCTACAGCCTGTGTGCCCGCTCGGCTCTCCGTGACGCCCAGGAATAGCCCGGGGCAGGGTGACAGGTCGAGCCTCGGCCGGGCGGTCGGCCAGGCGACGGCCGTGGCCGCTCGCCGTCAGCGTTTGCTTGGAGGCAGCAGTGCGAGAGGTGCCGGGCCGAAGCCGTGGTGCGGCGTGCGGGCTGGTGCTTGGTGGTGACGGGCCGCGTTATGACGGCCAGGTGGGGTCAGTGAATTGGTGCAGTGTTCCTCGAGTTGGCCACTGGATAATATGACCGGAGCTTGGCTCAGGTAAGTGGACAGTGAAATAGGGGAAAACGGACAACTAATTTGCGCATTTTAAGATACGAAATCAAAGACGCTTTATGGAAATCCTGAAGGCCTTCAGTTGTTGCACTGAATGGTGGTCAGGGTGACCCCAATTTGCGTTTATTTTGTGTCTACCTATGCAAAGAACAATCAACTCATCATATAGTATTCAAGATTTAACAGCACGATGCGAAAGATGTCTATAAGCCATTGGTGCTAATTAAAATTCGCACCTCTTTTCAAAATAGAACTGCGCACGAAGGGCGACTTTTTTCATAATACCAGCGATAGTCAGAGAGTAGGGAAATCGCAGGATTTTACCCTTCAAAATAAAATAACCACGATCCTCCACCAGGGACGACGTTCGCATTACGTAGAAGCGTCAAAAGATTGTATTGAACGTTGATTGGTCGACGAGTCACCTGAGCATGAGGCGGAACACTCACTTAAGTTGAATGATAAGAAAAAGGTTAGGTTAGGTTGGTTTAGACGAGGCTAGGTCAGGTTAGGTTAGGCTAGATTACGTTAGGCTAGTTTAGGTTACGTTACGTTACGTTAAATTTCAAGAAATTGTCGGCGCTATTATGCTATTTACATTTTTTAAAGGGCTTCGTCCTAGGCAAGGGTGCTCTACTAAAGCTCACGCGTTGTCATTGCCCATGATGCATTACGTCACCGTTATGGCGCTCTGTGAATGCGTGGCGTGTGGGAATATGGCTCTGCCGTTATCATTATGTTGTATTTCGGGAAAGCAAGGCATTATAGGCTGAGCAGGACCGCGTACAGATTGTAACAACGCCTTAAAAAATAGCCTTGCAAATTGCAAAAAAAATGTCCTTGCCTGCACGATTTTGTCTCAATCTCGACCGGTCAGGTTAAAGTGACGGCAATCCTAGGTCTTGTCACGATAAGGTCGGAATTTACCACTTGTAGCGAAGTTAATTCCACATTTTCGCTGAGGTTTGCGCGTGCTGCATCGGGGCTTTATCACACTGATATATCAAAGTTTAAGCCAAAAGCTCATAGTAGACCGAGGCAAACCTCATATCGCCTCAGATGAAGCAAAACGAACTCATGCAAAGGAATGGTGAAATCGGCTCTTAGTTTTAGTGTCTGCTTCACGCTCGTGCATGGCAATGTGGGACTGGGGCCTCCTGATGGGTCGTCCTGTGTGATATAAATCTGTGAGGTATCGATCCGACATACAGGTTATCCTAGGTCTTCTCAGTATGACATGAAACACGATTACTTTACAATGCAGAAATCTCTCGATAAAGGTGCTACATGAACTGCTTAGTTACTAATGACTGTTCACGGTAGTCCAGCGATAAAACAAGCTTCGCATTTCGCGTTGGGAACGAGCTTCACTTGATGCTTTCACCAGCGTGACTTACACGGAGCGCTCCACATCTGTATGGGGTTTTGAACTGATATAGCCATTTAACACGCGCCCGGGTGTCCAGATGAATACCCTTCGTTCGGGTGGTGGGTCATTTGACTCCCCCTCCCTCCCTCCCCGAGATCTCAAAGTCTAATATAGCTAGATACACTAAATTCACCAGGTGGATTAGTCTGTACGCAATCTCACTTCTGTCGAGATTTGAAGTGCCTAGGTCGTGATCTTGGGATCAAATAAGGTCAAACAAGGTCAAACTCCAGATTGATGTACAAAGTACCCCAAACCTCCTTACGCAGCCGCCGCAAACCTAGATACCTGCTCTTGAACAAAAGGTCAATGGTGTTCGTTCACGGTCAGTGCCCTCGTTTGATATTTGAAAGGTCAAGGTGGCCAAAGAATGCGGAATCGCTGCTATTTTTTTCAAACCGTTATAAGTTAGTTTCATTCATCATATACGTTTGTCTCAATATCTTTAAATGCGAAACTTCCCCTTCAAGAGGCGCGCGCATCGTAAAGAAGCCTTGAGGTTGCTTTCGTTGACTTTTTCCAGCCCTTGGATCTCACGTAAGCCTGTTTGTTTTCTGGATGCATGCTCGTGTGAATCAGCTCGCAGGCGCATAACGAGCATGCAAGTGAGGATTGGAATGTGGGACGAGGACCAGCCACATCTAAGGTTCACATGCCTTGGCAGCAAAATGGTCACCCTTGCGTGGGGCGCTGGGACTGTTTTTTGTTCCGTTTGGTGCATAGTTCTTTTGGGCATTCGTTGGTGCACCCAGCCCACGATGCAGCCGATCATAGGCTCTCCCAGTCCGTAAATGTTGACCTAATCTTCAGGTTTCTCTAGTCGATCTAGTTGATCTGATCTCTCTGGTCGCTGAAGCCGAAGCAATATTAACCTTGGTAAAACATTAACCTTGGTAACAAAGTTAATTTTGGTCGTGTAATGAACGGCTGACTGAACAAAAAAAGGGTAACCTCAGTATGGAGGGGTGTGGGGAGAGAAAAAAGAAAGGACAATAGTGTCATACCCTTTGCTAGCATTGCTGCATATCTGAAAATGGTTAGTTGTTTAGTATGAATAGCATGATAGAGAAGAACAACACAGTTTAGCTGTATTAAAGACGTAGTATGCCGCTGCCCTTGGGTGTTTATGACCGCTCTCGTGTGTTCCCGACACATTGACAACGTTTTGATAGTGTCGCTGCGAAGGTAAGGAATGCTTTGTCTGCCGCTGAAACGGAGCAGTCAAGCACAAATAAACCACACGACAATCAATTTCTGGAACGATCTACGTAGTGGGACAATCCTGTACAGGCTTTCCTTCCCAATGAAAATCCAGTCTAGAGGAAAAGAGGTAGCACTTCTCACAGAGTATAATTCTCGTGATGTGCAATGCACTTGATAACAGACCATATGATCACATGATATTATCCCGGGTTTATCCACATCACGCTGGGTCCTCTGATGGGAAAAGGGTACCAGAATCATCGTGAATGACAAAACTTAGCATTGCTCCAATGACCTCCACGATGCGTTTCGGATCATGAATGCTCCATGACTTTTTCATTCTTTGGCAACATCTCCTCGTTGCTGACCTGTGTTTTTCAAGACGGTTTTCACCTGTGTCATCACACTTGATCCGGCAGGCAGCGCTAGCAGTCGCGGCCGTGGTATGTGTCATGTCGCAGCCGAAAACTTAGCTACTCTGGGACTGACCCGTGTCGCTCCGCATGCGTTGCCAGCGGCGCAGGCGAGCGGTGACCGGCGGGCACAGGGACTGACCCGTGTCCCTCTCCAGCATTGCCAGCGGCGCAGGCGAGCGATGGCCGGCGAGCCGACCGTGACCATGACCGGTGACCGGAGCCGCAGGCCACTGTCATGCTGAAGACGAGTGACCCGCTCTGCCCGCTGGGCTTCTACCCGCAAGTGCGCTGGCCCACGCGGTGCAAGCGCTGCTACAGGTATGACTGCTGCGAACCAACGGACGCTTTTGCATTGCCAAGTCTGACGGCATTTTGATAGCATTTGCCACGTTTTCCTCGGAGCAGTTCGGTGGGCTTGATGTAACAAATATCAGTTGTGCGCAATCTAGTGAATGTTATCGCATTCGTTCTGTTTTCCCTCATTTTCACAAGCAGCTACATGTCGAAGCGCACGTTTTGCAGTTTAATAACATCGCATCGCTGTCATCACACAGCTAAGTTGCACTGTGGCAACAGGACAGTAACGTTACCGTGATTTCAGGGAATACAGTGAACACAAAGTAAAAAAATCGGCGACTTCAAGTCTACGTAAGGACAGAGTTACTGGTTCTTCACCAAGCCTAACGACCGCCAAGTGAGTAATGTTCAGTGCGAATGTGTCCTGTTATTCAATACTGCATCTGGTTTAAAATAGTGCGGCACAAACGGCATATATAACACACACATGACACACACACACACACATTTGATAACATTTGATAATATTATATTATATATATATATATATATATATATATATATATATATATATATATATGTAATATGGTAATATGGTCCTCATACCGAGATAAGATAAGATATCTTCTTCTTATTATCTTAAGATATCTTCTTTTCCAAAGAGCATGGTTGGCTGCTGGTAAGAAGGTTCAAAATAAGGAAGAAGAAGAAGAAGAAGTCCAAGAGAGAAAGTTCAAAATAAATTCACGCAGTTTCAAATATGCTGGACATTTTGATATTGATAACACCTCATTTTGCATTCAAAATGGTTTGTGCACAATAAAGACACACGATATATTTGATTATATGTATGTGCTTATTCGCTCACATGCTGATGTGTACCATATTCATATTTGCATGTTTGCTTACACATCTGCCCTCTACTAGGGCACCAGTAGACTCATAACTCATATACATAACTCACTATGTCTGGTGACACTACGCCATTCTCAGTGCTTAACCCTGTAAATTTGCCTGCAAGTTAAAATTCCATCTCCATATTATAAATGTTATGCAATATTCTAGTTGCTTGTTGGGCACGAGCGTGTTCTTGGATGGACAAGAGTCAATATCATGGATACGTTTTGGGTACTATATCAAAGTAAGCAAACGTATCATGCAGACATAACAACTACGTTACTGGGTAGACCACTCACCATGCATTTTACGGAAGAGGCACTAAATTAACACGACGTAACGCCACCAAAAAGCTACCGACACGAGGACACCTCCCAGCCAACAACACAATCACGAAGTCGTATCACTTCGCATGACGTCACGCGTCGTTCGAGAAGTTGTTTGTCTACAAGAATCCTACGACACTCAGCATACAAGTTATTTGATCGCACTCAGTCTTTGTGAACAAAGTTTCACTGCCGTAAAATTCCAGCGTTGCACTCGAAGTTAGATGTAATGAGTGGATCCGTGGTTGTAATGTGGTCCTGGTACCGAGATCAACACCGCTTTCGAATGGACGTGAATGTGCGTCGTTGACTGTCACAAATGTATAACAAACCGTATGCCAAAGTTCAGCACGGTTCTGAACTGCACATTGGAGCTTTGCAGTTGTGTGTGCTACGTATTTGTCGAAATAAATGCGGGAAGGCAGGCAGGCAGACAGGGGACGTGCATTCCTAAACTGCTATTCTTCACGTGTGACGGTCTTCAATACCTGTGGATGTGACGATCTTATCAGCCGAGAGTTATACCAGACAATCATGATAAGGTTTTACGTGCCCGATAATTTTCACGATTTGCCCGTTTCAGTCAGTTTCCATCGCGGACCGCTTCTCGCCCCGTTTTTGACACTACCCACGACACATTCTTAGTTTGTTAAGTGAGCGATCGTACCGCACACAGCTCCAGGTCACGGTCGCCCGCAAAAATAGTGAAGAAGAACATGGTAGCCTGATACATTCGGATTAATGGGAAACACTCGGTTTTCACAGCAGTGGTGCTACCCATGCCAAAAAGGATAAAAAATGTGTCTAAAAATTGGCATATTTTAGAATTTGATAGGTCTTGAGGCCTTTCAAGGTACGAATTTTGGAATTTTACAGCTTCTATGGCTTTTAGCCTATAATTCCTGATACTGACACCTTCATCAACCTGTGTCACGACAAGGATAGATGGCCATATTTCTTTCGTCCAGTCGTGCAAGGCCGCTGAATACTGGAGCAAAAGAAGAACGCATAGGCATTTTGAGAATTTTTTCCGAAGAAGCCAGTATTCCCAACTAGTAAAATTGCGATAAAACCATTCAATAAAGACCAAGAGCAGCCCGCGATTCAATTCCTCGCCAATGTCAAAGTTGGGCTGTTATCGTACCGCCAAATACGGCTGTAAAAGTTAGTTTGAAAACGGTTGCACTACGGTCAAGTTGTCTGAAAAAAACGCCCCATTAGTACGTCATGGTCCACGCTAAGTTCATGTTGTGTTATAACCGTGGTATTGCCTTGGTAACGTATGGAAATGATGTATGAGACACTATGCTTAATAGTCAGTAGCAGTATCTATGTACTTGATGATGCCTTTCGAAGGCCAGTAATTCGTATCCTTGACAACGTCATTTACTGATTTAGCGAAATTGCAATGACAGGTCAACCAGTTACGTTCGGGACCGAACAAAAATCACATCACTATATTGAGGATTTACGCTTTTTTGTGCACGCTGTGTTTTTTACCCCATGATGTCCGCAGGGTCTTGGGATCTGGTCCTGTGTCCGACTTTGATTACGAAACGAGACTGAAAAACTTCTTGGCGCGGAGGTATCTCAAGCATATCTATAGCTAGAATATTTTGCTATGCACGCCTTGAGAGATGCATACGCAGAGTAGATGTTTTCATACGCATGATCTGCTAGATAGCTGCCGAGTTTAGATCCGTGTTGTGTAATCGATGATGGCGCTTAACTGATCGTTACATAGGTTGTGTGAAACTTAATGAGTTCGATGTAGTGCGTCAGTATTTAAGTGCATGGGAATGGTTTAAAAAGAAATCAGATGCTGCGTTCACCTATACATTAAGTCGCCAGTGTGTTTATCGCATCCGACTCCAACCTCCGCCACCGCTCGCGGTTTGCTAGCCACATGGTCGATTGACCACGTGCGATGCAGCGGCCCGTACACCTCCGGCGACGGACTTCATACAACTGACAGCAGGACGTCAGCATCTGTGTCCTTCTGGTCAGCTGCGCCAGGCGCCTGTGTAGTAGCCGGGCAGTCGGGCGGGGCGGGACATTACCCAGGTGCAGCGCCGAGTGACAGCTGGCCGGCCGCTGGCGCGTGTGGCCAGGCCGGGCCTGCCTGGGACGCCTCGGCGTGCCACCTGTGCCCGGCAGGCCGGTCGCCGGGCAGCGGGCCGGGTCCCGTCACTGTCCGTCGACGAGCTCGAGCGGAGGGCGTCAGGCCACTCCGCGACCGTGCCCGCCGCCCAGCTGACCCTGCCGGCCGGCAAGCAGTGGGGGTCGGTGCCGCGTGCGAGGGCCGTTCAGGCGGCCGAGGTCCGTGTGACCTCCCTGACGACCGGGTCGCCCAGGGACCGGCGCTGCCTGCCACGGCCGAGGAGTGCCTGCTCAATGACCGGCTGAGGTCACGCCGGTGTGTTTCGTGTGCTGAACACTATCCGGCACTGAGTGCGGCAGGTGTGCGGTGCCGCACCGCGGGTGATGGGCACTGAGACGCGGCCCGGCGTCCATCGCACGGCCGCTCATGATTCACATACTCACCCGGAGCCGGCTCCGGTGAGCAACATCGCTGCCGCCACTTGCTTGAGGATGCGTGACGCACGGCGCCGCGGACCTTTCCCCACAGCGCTCGCGACCATGGAGGTCATGTCAGCGTACATGATTCACGCTCCAGCTGAGGATCGAGCCTGCCCCTTACCCCTCCCCACACCCGTGGGAGTGCGCATTGGCAGCCGCTGGATCGCTTCGCGGCTGCTGTGATCGCGTCCCCCTCAGGCTGCGTGGCACTGTTACTCGCCATTAGCCAGTTTCTGGCTGTGTGGCACCGTTACTCGCCATTAGCCAGCTTCTGGCTGCGTGGCACTGTTACTCGCCGTTAGCCAGCTTCTGGCTGTGTGGCACTGTTACTCGCCATTAGCCAGTTTCTGGCTGTGTGGTGCTGTTACTCGCCATTAGCCGGTTTCTGGCTGTGTGGCACTGTTATCTGCCATTAGCCAGTTTCGCAGAGTCGAGCTGTAAGCCTTCACTGTGCGTGAATCGCACTTGGTAGGCGTATCGGCTGGCATGCCTTTTGAAGTTTCGTTCAAGCTATTGTTGAGTGTGGAACAAATGAACAAAACCAAGAGATGCTTATCATGTATGCTGCAATCGCACAATTAAGTTGCAGCGTGGGCAATGATCCTTATTTGCCCAAAAGTCGCATATCGCCTAAATAAACTCCATAGACTGTTCTTATACAGCTTGTGGGTGGAGTTAATCGTCAGATATGCGTATGAATTTGAAGCCTCTCAACTAAACACGCGCGCATGCGGTGTAATTTTATTGAAATCCGAGCGGGGACCGATGGGATCTTAGTAAGATCTCGGGACCTATTGGACTATTGCTGACGGACGGGATCTCAAAGAGCAGTCTGCAGCCTGAACTAGTCTACTTTTATGTCCACAGTTTCACACCTGACATGACTCGGATATCCTTTTCAAAAATGTCAGCGATGCACCCATGAGAGTAAAAAGCGGTGTAAGTCTGAAAATTATTCCTCATACGGAAAGGCAATTCAAAACACAAGTGTTTCATTGCATTTCGATGCTGTTATGATGAACCAAAATTCATACATGATAGTTCTTCTGGCAGGGTGTGGATAATAACATATGAGGCTGATCGTAAGATTACAGTACAGATGCTTGAGCAGGCAGCATATGGTGTAAATATAAGTATTTTGCCTGGCGTGAATGTGGAATAAGACTTGATTGTAAAAAAACAATATCAGCGACGCAGTTAGAAAAGGAAAGGACGCTTTAAATCGTAACGTTTTGCCCAATGGCAAATGAACATTCAAAGCACGGAAGTAACACCATGTAGCAATGTTTGTCCCTCAACCCAATATAGTGGTATTTTCATTCATCTCTGGCAGTACCGCGGGGTATTACAGAATGAAGAAAATGAGATATTGGGGAGAAAATACGTGTGTGATGAAACGCTGGACGTCCACATCTCATATCTACTGCCTTACTCTCATATTTGTGACTCGTTCCTCCTGTCTAACTTGATGCCCCGCCACCAGAGCATGTTAACTTTACAGGAATGCTGTAGTCACTTTCTTTAAATAAACTGTCTGGTCAAAATTGTTCAGGATGCATTCTGACTCATTGCTCGTGAGGGATCTCTCCCAGGCCCGCCCCAGTCACCCTCTTTATCCGCCTCCGAAGTATTAGACTATTGGTATATTTCGTCATGAACATCACCAGTACAGCATGAATAGCTATCGAGCAAGAAAAACGTTGCTCTCAATATCGAAACCAACGTCGATTCATAGTGGCTTGCCCTACTTATATCCCCTACGTCGGACCATGGCAAACCAGTTTTTCATCCATGTTAATGTGAAGTGTAAGCTATGATGCCTTTGATGATGCGCAAATTTATTGACTCAAACAAATGTATTCAGCTACTGGAAGTAATGTGCTGATGCAGACATCCGAGAAGACCCAGATTTGTCTTGTTTCCTCCCATACGTCGGTCACAGAGCCACCCACAGGCAATGTATGCTGCTAAAATGGCGATACGCCATTTAGGCAGCGTAATGGCCATGCTACGTCAGATTGACAATCATGGGAAGTCACAAAAGCCCAACGGCTTAGCTGGACCGACTTGGAGACGACAAAGGAGAAAGATAGATCGCGGGCAACAAACCGGTCCCTACACAAAAACAAGCCAATCAGTCCATGTCAACCAGTGCATATTTTTCGTGTCAAGATATGCTGATCGCGATGCTATTTCAGCACAGTTCAATAGTTGTAAGGCATCATGAGTGAAATGCATTGCGGTACGTGCGCGAGAAATAGTAACCCGGCCTTTTGTCGCGCCTGGGCTCGGTATCTGCAGTGCCATTTCTAGTCAGCATTGGCTCAGCAGAAGGCATGTGAAGCCTGTGTATACATATAACGCAACTCGTGCATTGGCCTGCCGTTTTACACATCGGTGTCTAACCACGCTCTACACCTTGCCACGTGTATCTTGTACCATTATGTTACTGCGCATGCTGCTAACATAATGACGTTTTAGAACAATTTGCATGTTTGTATTTTATCCTAGCATGTCTTCTACGCTTTCCATCGTATCTGCAACAAAGTTGTATTTTCGTCAAATGGTAAGAAACGCAATCTTTGTAGTTCATCTACTGTGGTAGGCAGTTGCGTTGCAATTTTCATAGGTAAGTGATTTTTTTTCCTGGCTGACTATATGTTTGTCATCGTTTTGAGCTTCGCTTTCAACTTTTTTAGTTACTAGCTATTGTCTTTGGACATCAGTTATTAACTGCCATCTTCGGACACACTATGACCCTGGATACCTGGGGAAGAATAGGTCTTCAGGGGCAATAACATATTTTCGTTGTTTTTCCATGCAGGACCCACCAGCGTCTGGCACCTAGTGTGCCCTAGCCGCCTAAAACCATGCTTTGTGCTGTGTATATTGTCGCTGCGTGCTTGCTGATCGGTTAGAAAACATTGTTTTTTGACTGAGTGTCATGCGCGTGTACAGGGAGGAAGCTGACGCCAGCAAGAATGACGCCGTGCCGACCTCCAAGTCGCTGCTGGCTGAGGAGGCGGCCAAGAACTACACCAGCCCCTCGGGGTACAGCCCACTGTCCAGGTGCGTGCCGCCTGGCGGGCCGGCAGACGTGCTGTGGCGCAGCTGCAACGCCCTCGCCTCCTCTTTTAGCCGCGGTGTCTGCATTGGCGGAGCATGACCCACGCTACACCTGGCTATTCCCCAAAACAATGTATTGACCGAAACAAAGCGTTCACACATCTCAGTTAACGTGGCACAGGTCGTGACTGAAAGTCAGACAAATTTAATTCATATTTCGGTTCTATGCAGTCACCGTCCTTACACGGACCTAAGCAAAGACGTGATTGTGTAGGCATTGCAGTGCCGCAGGCAAGCAGATATAGAATGGGTTTGCCACGCTGACGCATCTTGAAATAGGTTATGACATAGGTTATGGTAAAAAGTCAAGCATAATGGACGAACAATTGATACAGCAGCTACCTGCACGTCGTGCCGCCAAAGTTCTCACAGTTGGTTTCTGTCTTTTTTCTCGTCCTTGCAGTTTTCTCATTTTTCTCATACCCATGAGAGCCAACTTCTTTGAACACATATACATATTTTGGTTACGAGTTTAACACAGCGATATATAACGCCTGTTAACGAAACGTCGATAAAATCACGACACGGCATCTCAGTGGTTGTCGCGAAAACCCAACCACGTCAGTAAATAGGTGCACTTGAAACAGATATAAAAGCGGACGGTTGACGTCATTGGGACTTCACGATGCACTCGGCAGCTGAGTACGACAATACCAGTAGAAATTTTAATGTATCTATTCGAGGTTGAGCCTCGTACGTTTTGAAAGGACCTTTACCACCTCCCTTATCCCCTTGTCGCCTTTAACACTTGCTTGTCTTGGCTCCCCAAATATTGAATGTAAATTACCAATCAGTGGGACGGCTATAACAACAAAAAAGAAGATTAAGATAATTGGGTGTTAACTGTAGTGAATACCTCGAACTGATAGGAATGTTTCAGCGCATTCATATGCACTTCACATAGGTCATGATCGTTTTCTGAAGTCATTTGCACACTTTGGTCTTTTTTATCACCACTGCAATTTGATGCGCGTATTGTTCAGCGAATAGCGCTCAACGGCGTTATTTTCTCCTCTCTAACTCCAAAGAAACTTCCGATATCCACTCTCTTCCTTCGGCTTTTGCAATTATTTTTATTTATCATTTGATTCCGTATTACTGACATTTCCTTTGCTTACTCAGCCTTATCCTATACTCGCCGTATTTAGGCACCGATTCATATCTATTAGTATGGTAAAGGTGTGATAATTCCTGGGATGCATTTAGGAGTACGGTACACCTACGATGCACGACAGCGCAGATAAAAGCGCGTCTGACTGGGCTTGTAATCTGAATCATGTGACTTAGCACGCACCAGGTGGCCGGTTAAATGCTTTTCGCTCGGCTGAGGTCAATTTGATCCCTGAGATTTCAGAAACCAAGAGAGCTAAAGGCACTAAATTCACAGGGTGTGTTGGCCTGCATTTGAAATCCCTCGTGACAAATTTGAGGTTCCCAAGTTATGATCTTTAGGTTGAATAAGGCCAAACAGGTCAAACTTCATATTTGTGTCCAAACTGCCACCAGACCTTCTCATGCAACTACGGTACACCCAGAAACATTTTCTAAGCGAAAGGTCACTGGTGCTCATTTAAGGTCAGTGACCCCGTTTGACCTTTCGAAGGTGATGCTGACTAAAAGCATACAAGACTGCTGTGAATTTTGCATTTGAATAAGCGTCAATGATGCGCTATGCAGTACGTCCCTAAAAACAAAATGTTTACCTAGGTCATTTTCGGTCAGTGGCCTATTCTGATTTAAGAAGTCCATCGACGATGTATAACGCGTTTCCTGTTATAAATAAGTACAAAATTTGCACTAGGAATTATTTCATACAGCAAGCTCTAGAGTAAAAAACAGGCTGGTTTTGGCCTCGAACTGCCCTTCATACCTGACCATAGGTCAGTAAAACTGTTAATTTAGTTTTGGTGTCATTTAAAAAGCTATTTCAGAGATGCATGACTTCGTTTAACGCTCCGTCGTTGCCATTGCATCATGTTGAACAATTCCCTAGAAATTCTCTCCGCTGAATCCATGCACTGACTTAAACCTGTCGTAGGTCAGCGACCTTAAGGGGTACATTTCAATTTCCATACCAAGCGATCCGCTATTCCATTGCCTGCAGCTATGCAAAATTTGGCGCGGCTTCGCCGCGCCGGTCGGAAATAATTCGGGAAAAAGCTTCGGGGGAGGCGTATTAACCCTCGCGCGAACGCGTGCTAACAGCCACATGCAAGGAAAAGACCATCGAGTCCTTGCGGTCTAGCCTGTCCGCCCGCACCTGTGCCCCACTGAGAGTACCGAGGGCCGCCGAGCCGGCTACAGCGGGAGCCGGGCGGGCCGGGCCGCTGGCGGCGGGAGCCGGCCGCACTACTGGCAGTGGGAGCCGGCCGGGCCGGGCCGGTGGCGGCGGGAGCCGGCCAGGCCGGGCCGGTGACAGCGGGAGCCGGCCGGGTCGGGCCGGTGGCGGCCGGGCCGGTGGCGGCGGGAGCCGGCCCGGCCGGGCCGCTGGCAGCGGGAGCCGGCCGGGTCGGGCTGCTGGCGAGGGCTCGGGCCGCGGCGTCGCCCGGTGTCGCCGACAGAGCCGGGGTCGTCTGGCGCACACCTGTGTCCGGCGGCCGCGGCCTCTGAGCGGGCACGTGGCCAGCCTGCGCCGCCCGGGCTGGCCAAATCTCGGCGGCCGACACCAGTATTTTTAACTCTTATAGCACATGACCCTGGCTAGATCTGCCTTCCTGCGCCGTGTCGCCACAGACGCCACTGAAACCGCATGGCACAATGCATACAGGGGCAATACTCGGATTTTATAGCATGGGAAGTATTATAATGAACTGACAAAAGTCTTGTACAATAAATCGTATTGTTGAACATTGGTATCGCTGAACATTGTTTGATTTTGTCGGAATATCGTGCAAAAGCGTTGCAAAGAAGGCTTAAGGCCTATCGGAGAATGTAGCCTTGCAGTTGGGGCATTCCAGGACAAATGGACTGTTCCAGCTCCATTTCGATATCTTCATAACTTCGATTTAGATGAAGACTGGTGCTATGAACTGTCTTTGGTGAGAAACTCATATGACACAATATCAGACTTGTAGGCCAACAGCTGTGAAGTCATGACCCCGGGCAATGTCGGATCAGTGCGTCGTAAGAATATCTTTAAATGCCAATTTTCCTACGATATGTGCATCGACCTAAAAAATAAGCACGCTGTTGCACTCGCAACATCACAAAGGCCCAACTTCAACTGTTTGTTTTAATTCATCATAGTAAATAGTGATGTTTACTTGTGACCTAAGGTCAGGACAACTTGGAAAAAATCTTAAGCTTTTTTTGTGTCGGGGGTAAAATATTGACATCGCCGCAAGCCAATCCCAGGGAAAGGGAAACAAAATGGGGTTTTCTTCCAAAGAGATTTTCAGGGTGATTTTCCAGACCTGTCTGCGATGAAGGGGTAAACTTTCAGCCTGATCTCAGCTGTGGCCACAAAAAATGCTGATGAGCCCAGTGAACGAGGATACTATCGGCGCTGAAGTAAAGCGCCAGTAGTTACCGCGTGAGCAGCGGCCACGGGAATCTCCTTGTCTTCCCAGAATTCTGCACCCTCGTCCTTCCCCCACGTGTTTGCGTCGTCAGTAGCGCAGATTTGGACAAGCAGAGTGAGCGGCTCAGCCACGGACCGGATATAGCGCAGACCCTTACAAGCGGCACAAGACCAGAATGCCAAGCAACGTAAGAAAGGTGTCGGGTGAGCTCGTCGCGAGATTGGGTGGTCCCCGAATGTCATGAGGAAATGTCGGCAAAACATCCGCAAAGCTTGCCCAAATCAGAGGCTTCGGACGGGACTTCCAAGCTCAGGTCAGGAACCCAATTCGGGGAACATGAGATCATCGGCCCGAGCAAAGAGCTGTGATCACAATCAACACTGTTCTAGAGTATAGATAAGACAGTATTGGGATCAAACGCCTGTGAGACAAAGTAAGCTAACTTTTCTCAATATTCTTCTCCGATTGGTAGCTAAAAATATGCTACGAATCTTGATATTGAATTCAATCGTGCAGATGGAGGTTCATTTCCGATTCCGTCTGGGGTCAAACTTGAAACCGGTAAATGTTTTGTTATTGGGCCAGAGCGCCATTGGAATGTGCAGGATCTCAAATCAGGCTGTTGTCTACTTCACAGGTATCAAGCTAAGGAGAGCCAAGTTACTAGGGGAACACTAGAAAAAAATATTGTTGTTTCGTTTCAGGATCGAATGGAGCATGATCAAAGCAATGCAATGTTAGATGAACTCGCCTCAGTATCATGTGTTTTGTTGTCAAGTTGCCCTCGGTTTGTCCGACAAAAACTTATCTGTTAGTTGAGCTCACTCATCAAACTATTTTACCTGTCGCTCAACTTTAATTTTTTACATGCCTTCATGTGAATCAGGTCTTACCATTATAAGCAGCTGTGTAACGTTGGATTTTCGCGTTGCGCTTTTTTCAGACAGACCAGTTGATGGGAGATTTCAAGGGAGAATTTAAGACATGCAATGCCTACCGCTGACGTCTGCAAATTGTTACTCTCTCTCTCTCTCTCTCTCTCTCTCTCTCTCTCTCTCTCTCTCTCTCTCTCTCTCTCTCTCTCTCTCTCTCTCTCTCTCTCTCTCTCTCTCTCTCTCTCTCTCTCTCTCTCTCTCTCTCTCTCTCTCTCTCTCTCTCTCTCCTCTCTCTCTCTCTCTCTCTCTCTCTCTCTCTCTCTCTCTCTCTCTCTCTCTCTCTCTCTCTCTCTCTCTCTCTCTCTCTCTCTCTCTCTCTCTCTCTCTCTCTCTCTCTCTCTCTCTCTCTCTCTCTCTCTCTCTCTCTCTCTCTCTCTCTCTCTCTCTCTCTCTCTCTCTCTCTCTCTCTCTCTCTCTCTCTCTCTCTTCTCTCTCTCTCTCTCTCTCTCTCTCTCTCTCTCTCTCTCTCTCTCTCTCTCTCTCTCTC